TAATAAATTCTATGATGGAATCTGCTGAGAGCAGCCAAGCAATTGTGGGAAGATTAAGATGGTGTGTAACCCCTTACAAAGGTCAGAGCCCTGATGATGTTTCCTCAGGGCTATGGCCTACTTGATATATGAGTTAAGTAGACACTGTGAAGAGATTCTTTGCTTTTGTGACTGGGTCTGGATCTGGTATATGTCCCATAGACCTCAGGTTCTTTGAACTCAGATAAATGACCTTGCCTATGCTGGGAACCATCAGTGGCCTGACATCCGACCCACTATCTGGCCCATGGACTTTAGATATATTTGACTCTGCAGCCACACAGCTGGCCTGCTGACATTCACCAGCCTATGGTCTTCCTGTTTTGTTTTCCTGCTTCTTGGTTTGTCAGCCCTGAAAGCTACAGAAGCCAGGAGAAGCCTCCAGCTTAACCTCTGACCCATGGACTTGAAACAAACTGGACTTACCGATTTCCACAACTGTCTGAGCCATGTCATTGAATAGATCTCTCTCTCGCCCACCTTCCTCTCTTCCCCTTTCCCTCCCCTTCCCCCCTTACACACACACACACACACACACACACACACACACACACACACACACACTGCTTCCCTAAAAACCTAGGCTAACAAAATTGGTACTGAGAATGAATCTATAGAAACAATATCATAAGGATGAGTTTTCTAAATTGATTTGCAGGTCTGATTAATCCTGTAAAGTTGGAGATTCTTATTTGTTCAAGGATATTCTCAGAACAAAGGCCTGGAGGTCTACTTCTGAAAAACTAGCCATTGAAAACCCTATTGAGCAGTTTTTCTCTGGTGCACGTGAGGTTATCATGAGTCAAATTTGATTCTATAGCAATTGGTTTTAAGGACCGTATTTATAATAGAATCATGCATCTTGAGTATAGTCTTTTCTCCATCTAAAACTCATTTCTAACATCTTTTATGGGAATTGACAGTGCTTCTTGTGTTGATCAGATAAGACTAGGGAGACATGTTGTTAACTACCTCTGAAATGGGGGTTTATGATAGAAATGTGTTAAACAACCCTAGAGTGTATGTATATTCTTAATTAGGGTAACTGATCACCACTCGAGAGTAGATTACATCTAGCAACCTGACTCATGTATACCATATTGTCCACTCTGAATAACATCATATGTACAACCAGTTTTTGTAATTTCAACAATGAAGAGTGATCAAAAGGCAAAGAGGATATTGGAACTAGTTTGAAATGTATAGAGCCTGTACCTCAAGGTAAGCTTGAAATAGAAGTTTTCCCTCAGTTGTTCTTAATCCCCACCTTCTCACTGTGTGAACAGGTCACTGTGATGAGAGTGACATCAACAGCTCACAATACATACTGTTCATACAACATGGCACCTAAACATAGAGTATTGGCTTCAACTGTTCCTCAACTAAAGAGGCAGATGTCCATTTCAACATGGAAGAAAAATGAGTTCCCTGTGTACTTACTCAGAAAGCAGTTTTCCAAAGTGGTTAAGGAAGTTTTAAGATTTCCCCCCCACTATATCTGATTTTTTTCCTTGCTTTAATTTCAACCTATATACCTCCCACCCCAACTTCCAACCCTCAGCTCCTGTACTCAGTGTAAGGAAAGATGGAGTCTAGTATTGAGATAGGTTCTTTGAGCTTCCTAAAGAAGTGTAAGACAGGATCTCCAGTGCATTGATCTGCCTCTGAACTGCCTCAAGGCAAACAATCGACAGGATCAGGAGTCAGGCTAATTTTATCCCAGAACCAAGGTAGATTTGTGTTATTTTTAGTGGGAGAAAAATAATAACAAAACTTATATTCATCTTGTGAGAAAGAAAATTTTGTCTCTACAATGCATACATGTAAAATCCCACTGTGAAAGTCCAAAGACATACACGATTTCAGTTAATGATAGAGGTGAATGATGGATTTAATGTTTCAATATACATTTCTTTTTCTAATCAGATAACTCTGATGGTGCTGTGGGTTAGACATTGGGCTGCTAACCACCAGGTCAGTGGTTCAAATCCACCAGCCCCTCTGTGAGAGAAAGATGAAGCTGTCTCCTCTCATAAAAGTGTACAGTCTCAGAAACTTTATATAGGATTGCCATGAGTCAGGATCAAATCAATGGCAGTGGGTTAATCAGATAGTGATAAGTATTTGAAATCACCCTTACATACTGTAAGCTAGATTGTATATCCATCCTTTTAGCTTATATGTAGACGGTCTTGCAAAAATCCCCTTTACTTTTCCCTTTACATTCTAAATAATTGCACATGCAATAGCCTTATTGATTTTTAAGTTCGCTGAATTTTCTTTCATATTTTGGTTTTTCTAATTGTGATTACAACAGGTATTATCTTTTGATGCATATGTGGAAGATGAAGTGCCTCAAAAAACTGAAGAGGACTATAGAATAAGACGGTATAAAATCTACTTCTACCTTGAAGATGACACAATTCAAGTGAATGAACCAGTGTTGAAAAACAGTGGATTGCCTCACGGTCTGTAACTTAAAGCAGAGTTATGGTTCTTCTACTTCTAACTTCTTCTATTATAGACTCTCTTCTGCTTTTTCTAAGGTCTTAGGATACTGTTTAGGTGCCTAATTTGTTGACAGTGATGAATATAAACAATGCCATTCGGTTGTAGTTAGAACTCCCTAGGTGGAGCAAATGATTAAGCACTGAACTACTAACCAGAAATTTCGCTGATCAAACCCTCCCAGAGGAGCCTAGGAAGATAGGCCTGGTGATCTGCTCCCCAGTGGTCACAGACTTGAAAACCCCATGAAACAGTTGTGTTTTGCACATCTGGGGTCATCATGAGTCAAAATCAGTTTGATGACAACAAGAACAAGATTATAACTATTGGATGGTTTATTAGCATTCCATCCACTGCACCTCAACCCTGGCTATTACTCTTAACTCCTTTGTGGAAGACTTGTATGCCTTCAAGGCTGCTCCTCTACTGTGAACAATGCTTCCTGGGTCTTCAAACGGTTTGATCTCTTTACTATAGCGATACCATTTCCTTCACAGCACCTTCAGGATGAAGACCTACAGGAAAAAGACCTTTTCCTCTGCCGCTTTCAGATCATTATTTCTCTCCTTGTATTATTTTCCACCTGCTTAATCCACCCTTTTCTCATCCTCATCCCAGTCAACTACAGACCTGAATGGCACTTCAACAAAGGCTCATGGCTCTATCATCTTTCACTATACAGCATGTCCACTAGAGATAAACATGGACTCTGTGATGTGGTCACCAGAAAAGCTAATGTGATCTTAGGCAGATAACATAGAAGATGACACTTTTGTTTTATTTATGTTGTAGGTCCTTCCCTTGGGTGTTATGCTGAATTCTGAAAACCTTCAGGTTAGAGCAGTGGTTCTCAACCTTCCTAATGCCACAACCCTTTAATACAGTTCCTCATGTTGTGGAAACCCTCCAACCATTAAATTATTTTCATTGCTACTTCATAACAGTAATTTTGCTACTGTTATGAATTGGGCGACCCCTGTGAAAGGGTCGTTCGACTCCCAAAGGGGTCGCGACCCACAGGTTGAGAACTGCTGGGTTAGAGCAACCAGGATGGGCAAAAGATTGCAATTTTGTCATGTGAGAGACTTAATAATGAAAAGGGATATTTGTCTCTCAGTGGAAGACCTCAGGTATGACTGATAAGTGTTTTCAAGACTCTTAAGAGATCTCTTGTGGAGGAGAGTTGACTTTGTTTTTTGTCATCTGAAGTACAGGCGCCCCAGGTGTCCACATTCAGGTCCATAAGATGAAGAACTTTCTAGTAGAGAGCGCCAAGGAGTTGTAGTGGATAGCCCCTGGGCAGGTGCGGAATTAGAGATACAGAAGGAGGAGTCATGCATTTGGTCACTGGTGTATGCATGGTACAGGAAAAGGGTTGGGCGGGGTGGGGGGTGAATTGCCAATAAAGGGTGGTTTATCACTGGCAGCTTGGTAGATGTATATGAAGAAAGCCTTGTATTTGTTTGGTGACTGGTGTACATGACCTTTCCGGGTCCTTTGTTCCCCGAGGAACTATAATTCTTGTTTTTTAGTTTGTACTTTCCATCATCTTTTGAAGCATGGCCACCTCCAGTAGATGAGTCTCTGAGTTTTCCCTCTCTACACCCTCCACTCTGTTTACACTTTCCATGTGTGTGCACTCACCAGCCCAGTCCTTCGCTCTGCTAGCAAAGCACATCCTGAATCTTCCCCTCCTAACCCAAGCTAGCCTCATCTCAAGACTAGAAAAATGGAATAGCTGATAACTGGTCTCACTGGTTCCATTCTTGCTTCTCAAACAATCTATTCTTTCCACATCAGTCAGAGTGTCGTGTGGGACATTTTCTTGGTGCATTGGTCACTAGCACACAGGTTCTCCCAGAGGCCATGGAACTGAAATGTTCTAATCATATTATTCACTAACACAAGTTAAAATATGCATGAAAAGCAAGGGAAGGAGATGGGTGGTTTCACATACTTGAGTCCTAGCTGGTGGAAGGACTGCATGGCCTTAGTCCTGGAGGATGCAATGGCCCTGCCTCTATCTGCTGCATCAGCCTCCCCACTGATGGTGTGGTTATGAGAGACCAGGGTTGAGGTTCAAAGAAGGAAGACCATAGTCAAAAAGTGTCCTGGGCTAATGGCACACACTGATTCAGTCAGAGAAATTCAGGCACAAGCGTGCCTGACCACAGCTATAGCTTGTCAATAAATCTGCTAAACAGATAGGAGTTCTGTTTTTATTTATTTCACAGGGAACACCTGGGGCCAGAATGGGCGTCACCACTATTGAATGAATGTCTGAGTTCATCTTATGAATAATGAGTACTCATGAATACGAGTACTCATATATTTAGTATGTCATGAATATTTAGAGCCCAGGTGCACCACATGTATTTAATATCTACTGAATATTAAGTTTATTGGCCCCGCTATCTTTCTGTGTTTAACTCTGCAACCTGTTGTTGTTCTTGTGTATGCCATTGAATCTATTTTGACTCATAGCAACCCTATAAAACAGGCTAGTACTGCTCCCAAAGGGTTTCCAGGGCTATAAGTCTTTATGGAAATAGACCCTGTCATATCTTTTCCCTGTGGGTCAGCTGGTGGACTTGAACTTATGACTTTTAAGTTAATAGTTAAGTGGTTAACCACTGCACCACTAGAGTTCTTTTGACATGTATAGAACACAAATCCACTATGATTGTGAGTTCTTTCCTTTAACTGAATTTTGGCCCTTTGGTCTCATGCCCTACAGATTATAGAAACGATCACCTCGTGATTTCTGGAAGGGGCACTGGTAACACTCTGGGATAGGTTAACTGCAAGGTTGGAGGCTCAAACCCACCAGCTGCCCGTGGGAGGAAGATGAGTCTGCCTGTGCCTGTAAACACTTAACAGCCTTGGAAGCTTTTTCAGGGTCACTATGAATGAGAATTGATTTTATGGCTGTACAGTTTGTTTTGATTTTGGTTTCGGTATGTTTTTTAAGGAGTCCAGTGTGAGGGGTGTGGGGGTAGGCAGGGTTAAAGGGAGACAGTGTCAAGGAGTCCAGGAAGGAAAAGAATGTTTGGAAATTGGTTGTGGTAGCAAGTGTACAATACTGCTTGATGTGATATGATATACGTATTAACTCCTAATTAATAATAAATTAAAATAAATATAGAAACTAATGCTCTGATATGTTCCTGAACTAATCTTTGTTCATTGTTTTCTTTAACAAAATTTCTTTTTTACACCACTATACCAACTTTGCACAAATGATGGATGGGAAATGACAGAACACCTCAAATCTACTTTAGTAATTTACTTTAAGCTTTATTATTACTATGTTTTGAGTGAAAACTCATATTCCTGGCTCTTGTCCAGTGAAGCTTAGTAAACTATCCAGGGGGAAGTATGAAGTGCAACCTATATGAATCTCTTGGAAAGATTTTTAAATACTTTACAGTTCTCTCAGTCTCTTGATTTCAAATCTCACATAGCAGGCTTCAAAGGAGAAATTCAAGAATATCATATTTGTGTAACTGAGAAGGAATGCTATTTGTAGATACTCGAGGGAAGCGGGGATAGTTTAGCAAAAGACAATTCCAAAGTCTCTTCTGCAAACTTCAGAATTTCGAATTCACTCAAATTGGTCAGGGCATTTCTACAGCGCTCAAGGGATTTGTGTAGAATACACAGAAATCATGATAGTTAGCAAACTTGAATTTGTCAGTAGAGCAGAGATACCTGGAGGGCTCTAGCAAATCTTGTACAAAGTAACAGAAATAACCAAATTTTAATCAAGCTTTGTTTAAAGCAAAACTCGTCTCTCTTGAAATCCTTAATATGAAGATATTTTCTGGGGAAATTTGTGGCGTAGTGGTTACATGTTGGGCTGCTCACCACAAGGTTAGCCATTTGAAACCACCAGCTGCTCCCTGGGAGAAAATTGAGGCTTTCTACTCCCCTAAAGAGTTACACCGGAGCAGTTTGTTCCTGTCAAATAGGATCACCATGAGTAGGAATCAACTCGATGACAGTGAGTTTGGTTTGGAGTTTTTATTTGGTTAGGGGGTACTTTGGAAAACAATTTAAATGTCTTCGTCAGGCTTTCCTAAATTAAACTGATGGGGGGTGGGAGGGGGGAAGAAGGCCGCCAGTGGCTCAGACCTTAGCGGGATGAGGTTGCTGATATTTCCTTCACGTGTGTCTTCCTGGGCCTACTTTCCATGCACTTTTGAGCCTGGGAAGAGGCTAGGGGTGACATTTAGATGCTGGGCACTAGTGGTGTTCCAGTTACTGCCATAGGACTTCAGTTTATTTATTTGTTTGCAAATGAACTAGGAGTTCAGATGTATCTGGTTTTTTGGACTTGATACTTCAGAAATTTGTCTAACTGAATGATTTCTGTCCCTTATTTTTGTTGCTTCTCACATCATGATTTTAAGGTTGGGAGAATTTGGAATACTCTAGGAACAAAAGAAGTATCTCTTCTCATAGTGCTAAAATAGTCACACATAGCTTCTAATCAGAATGATATAGTTTAATATTTAAGAATGCTTATTGGTAGAGACCTTGGTATAAGTAGGAGGCTTGGTGGTGCAGTGGTTAAAGTGCTCAACTGCTAACCAAAACATTGACAAATTGAACCCACCAGATGTTCCACAGGAGAAAAATGTGGCAGTCTGCTTCTATAGAGATTATAGTGTAGGAAACCCTATGGATGGTTCTACATTGCCCTACTGGCTCACAAGGAGTTGGTATGACTTCATGGCAGTGTGTGTGTGTGTGTGTGTGTATATGGAGATATATATATATATATATGGAGATAGATAATATAGATGTAGATATAGATATATATGTCATTGTCATTGTCACGCTTCAAGGCTTATTTTCATTTCTTTTCTTTTTCATTTCATTTCTTCCCAGGACATGCTATCTTTTTGGTTAGATGTATTATATGTACAGATGTTATTGCTGTTCTGCTAACATGTAG